GTCGCCAAAGCACCTGCTATCATCGTTGCTGAGAAGTGCGTTGTGTATGGTGGTATACCGCGCAGGTGTTACGTGTCGCAAGGTGGCTTATGTCACCGGGCAAAAAAGATGCCCACAGATACAGGATCATAGGTAAGGACATTTGCCTATACAGTAGTATCTGCTCATACTAAAAGGCCTAACTATAAAGCTTAAAGCATACGACCTGTGTGATATTGAAAGGTCTCAAGATGCAAAAGACTGCGGTTTGGACGAAATTTTCTCAAGTGTTGAAACAAATGCGGTTTGAATTAATCGAAACGCCGTTTTAGCAATGCTTGCTTGTGAGGGCCGGGCCACTCGGTAATAATCTTCCTTCTAAATTTGACTCGGGTGTCAGCTTTAAGGGACTGTTACCACACTATACAGGTTTAAGGGGCAGTTACACAGATAGACGTACCACACAGTCAGTCATCTTGCCTTTTCCGTATTATTGGCCAAGCAAGCGGCCACATCAAAGGAAACTAAGGGGATTTAACTGCATCTTATTTCCAGTCTGGAAGTGAAGTCCGGCAAATTGCCCTGATATCATACCGTTATCTAAGCAGGAAAAAGCCGTACGTAAAGGGAAACATATTAGACTGGTTCTGGTGTAGGGAGACAGACCCTGCGTTTAGACTATTCACCCATAGAAGCCAACAGGGTTCATAGCTACGTGCTTGTGTAAGAAAAAACGAAGTGGGCACCACAGGGGCAGGACGCAAAAGAAAAGAATGAGGAGCAGTTTGTGGCAATGGAAAAGGAAGGCTGCTTCTAAATCGGGAATCACAATCGGGAATGAAGAAAGAGATTGGCTGTATGTAGTAGCCGCATTTCGACATACCAAAAGATCCATCTACTTGATATTCTGCTCAGAAAGGCTCGCGCATAGAAACCTTCCTTCCATTGTAACGTTATCGACAAAGCAAGAAACAAACGAATAAACACCTGTCTACTGAATGTGGTGGGACGCTTATGATTTGTTTCGCCTTATTTGAAAGCATGAAAAAAGGAGAGATTGAAAAAAAGGCATATCGCTGCTTTTCGAATAATCAGCTCCGTTCTACTTGAGTTTTAACGACCCGGAGAATTTTCGGCGCGCGGAAATTGTGGCTCACACACAGATGTCTTACGTGTCAGGTTTGTCTTGCATTACCGTCATGTAAAAACGACATACTTGAAGCACAATTCCGTGATATCAGCTGCACTCACTGAGCAATTTTTCTCCCCGTGGACCTTCCTGTGGGCAACAGATTTATGCTACTTACTGACAAGATGTTTCGCCGGCTAAGCTCAATGAGATTGACACCGTCGTTGCCGTTAGGAAGTCAACAGCTGATGTAGCCATATAACACCGACTCCACTAAAGGCAGCAGCGTTAGTTTTAGATAAGACGGCCAGACTAGCCACGAGACAGACAGGCCACCTTTCCGCCTCGTACTAAGTCCCATTCGAGTTCGCTTGGCCGATGGAGAGTAAAACACTGCTTCTCGAAATAGAAAAGTAGGCGTTGGAAAGTTGGTCACTTTTCTCCGGCTGGATCTGAAAAGTAACGCTGATCGACCGACCGGCTCAGAATGGGAACAAGATGCCAACAAACAACAGGGCAGTTGTATTGTAGTCCTCTGTTATCGCCGCCACCGTTGGCCTATACCATCTCCAGCATTGACCTACGCCGCGGGGTGCGTTTTTATCTGAAATTGGCGTTGCTGCCTCGAAGTTCCACTATACTAGTAGAAGCCGCGAAGCATGGTCTATTTGGACCCTGGGGAACGGCGGATAAACGGGGGGTGTTAGGCCTGAAATAGGTGACCTGTTTGCCTGTTTTGGAAAGCGGCTCGGGGTGGAGGGGACCAGCTTCGGCGGAGCTTCAACTGCCGAGTACTGCCAATTTGAAGCACTGTAGTAGTAAGCAATAGAAGAATGGGCTCTTCTGTATGCGTTCAATGCTGCTGCTGCTGTTGCTACGGCCGCTGCATTGGAAAGTGGAATGAAGAGGAGAAAAGCGAATCAGGGGACAGTTCAGTGTCGAGTACCAACCAGAAGTCAAGAGATAGATGTTTGGGAAACAGGCGATTGAAGCTGCAGCGGCAGGAGAAAAGTGATTGAACCAGCTGTGGCCAAACAGCGAAAAGAATTAGAACACACAGTAAAGGAACAGCTACGACCGCACAGGGAGGGACAGACGGCAAGCAACGCCGAAGAGAAACGGGAATCAACGGGCAAAGGAGCACACACGGGAGAAGAGGCAGAGTTGAATGGAATTGTGTTCCATGGACGAATCGCCGATCGGACACGAAACTAGCAGGGCGCAGGAAGTAACGCTCCTGGCCAGGCTGGCTAGGAAGAAATTAGTGCGATGGGCTGCCCATGCAAAGCAGATGAATGAAAAGGCAGGAGGAGAGAGGCAACCAGCAGGGTGTGGTAGAAATAGTGGTTCGTATACTTGTGTACGGAGAGGCCGTTGTTTTTCTGAAGTAGCTCTTGCTACATCGACTTTGCTAACCGCTTCGTCTGCTGCTGGCAGTTGTGAGCTATTTCGCAGTTGCGAAGAGGAAACTCGTCCAAGTGCGTTCTCTCATGGGAGTTACTAGCTACCACTAAGGCTGCTGCTGCTAGGGAGGAATTGAAAATCCTCGCGTTTCGTCCGCTTTTAGCCCCGCCAAAGCCTCGGGAACAGTTCAGCGGCCATCTAAACAGTCAGTACACTGCTTCAGTATTTGCCGTCCGTACTAAAGCGTCGATCCGCTGTCACACCGACAGATGCAAAGTCTGAGGACAGCTTGCACAGGCTGACATCGCAAGAAGGCCCAGGGTTAAAGTAATGTATGTAGCGTTATTGATATTTGTTATTTGTGAGTAAGTTCACGAGCGAACTTTGCAAATTTTATTGGCCACGATCGCATATGTTTCTAAATATTTGCATTAATATAAACTGAATTGGTTGGCTTTTGGTCTAAGACGACGTCTTTGTTCCACTTTATTATTTGTCCGAAACATTCGCAACTTCGCGCATTGGCCCCGTCGCTTCACTTCAACTTCACATTTATAAATAGCGACATCCAACACGAGCAACGACCTCAAGTTCGACAAAATAGCAAAGCAGTTAGAACTGACGTTTTGTCAATTTGCTTTACGAAACATAACTGTTTCTTTTATGCGAACTCACGTATCCCACCCAATTTCCCAGTTCGCACTGCACTCCAGCATTGGCTACAGAGGATCAAACCTCGGAAAAAGGCGTTTCACGAGCACCACAGGATCCTGGTAGTGTCTGAACCACCGTTGTTGATCGACTGTTATTTTCGACGTCGTTTGCTGGCGACAGGCAAAGGCCTATTTTTGCAATTTCCTATCTCTAACCGAAATAGGCGTGCTAGCGGTAAGAACGGCGAGTCGTCGCCGTTTTCCTTGACGTTGTACGTTTTTCTGAAGCTTTCTTCCGCTTTGTCTGCTACATCTTTCGACAGCTCTTCGTCGTTTAGACCGTTGTATAGTCAGATAGAGGTTCTCTCTTACTGCCGAGCTCTAAAGTGGCTGAAGGAGATTGGTGAGGGCCGCGTGGGCGCTGTGAAATAGAAGGACTCAGCAATATTATATGTGTCTTGGTCGGTAATGTGGATTGGGATAAAAGCAGAAAACCATAGCTCCAGCTCGAGCCGGTGGCCACCAGGTCGAATACAACTACTAACGCGCTGGTAAAGAGCGAATGGGTCGTTCTTGTCGATGCTAGTAAGATCTTTTGAAGTCGTTGACCTACCTACCTCACATCTGAACTAAAGACTTGAGTCTCTCTTGGATGGAGAGTTCAAGGGAGAGTTAGGAAGCTGGAGTGTTCTTGCGACGGCTGCGATGGCCGTGTGCGTCTGTCTATTCGGCGCGGCTTTTTACGATCCAAACGACGTTTTCTTATTGAGCTACCGCCATAGCCGTTCGCCGGTCTCGTTTGTGCTGCTTTAATCTTGTTGTGTCCAAACTTCTACCTTTCTACTCTTGTCTCCCTGCTCAGCAAACTGTAAGACCGGTGAGCTAGCAACAAGACTCAGTTAAATCCCGTTTTTTCAAAGAAAATACTCCAGCCAACGAACGTTTATCAATGACGAGTAAAGAAAGCGGAGTAGAATGTCAATAGCTCTGTCGGGTTTTAGCATGATCCTAGATTTCTCTCGCGCTAAAAGATTGCGAGGCGCGAGGGGAAGGACTTTTACATAAGAGTCACAGGTGGAAAGACACGGAAGGACGAGTTATATGTAGGTATATGGAATGAGCTATATAAGTGAGGGAATCAATAGGTACGGCTCAATAATCAGCAGAATATGGGGTCAAACCCAAAGTGAATGTCTAAGGAGACACGGCGCCGACTAAGCGCTAGAAAAAAAAACTCAAAGTAGAAGAACGGCACAGAGTGGTGGCCTGGCTGTGATAAGGGGATTGGTAGTGGACATAGTGGTTCTCCATCAGGTGAGCAAGCCTTCGAAGATAAAAAGGCTCGTTCATTTTCGAGCTTTTATTTCGGTCCATCTTTTTTAATGAAGGAAGTAGCCTTCCCGAACAAGATGCCGTTACGGAACCACCCGGTGCGTATTTCATACCACTGTTGGTGGTGGCAGAGACATTAGGCACGCTGTCACTAATTGAATAAAGTCAGAATCTAACCCTAGCAGTAATTACAGGCTTCACATATAACATATAGAATCTCTGGGTCGTGAAATCGAGGAAAAGCCGTATACATATGACTTTTCTGGGATAACATTGCGCAAAATATGTTACTGATATTACTGTGCTATTACAGAAAGAAGTACGAGTAGTTCATTGAACTAAAGCGTAAATAGGCCATGTCTAAGCAGCAAAATAAGCCCTTTTCATTGCGATCTTGTTGCAATGAAAAAGGCTTATTATCTATTTGCATGCGCATGATGTAATACAATACTATATTTCAGACATCGCGGTCGTGTCTTTGTCTTGGCTTTTGTCGCTTTCAGGCTGCTGCAGCAGCTGCGGCGAGTGGAGCTACAGCCGCAGCAGGTTCGTGCAATCGCAGACTCGCGCTGACCGGTTTGAGCTGCGGTACCCCGTTAGGACTCCCGCCGACCGCAGTGGAATGGTTTGTGGCTAAAGAGGCTTGCGCCTCACAAACGATGTGGTCGTCACCAACTGGCCAAGACACAGCGACAGAGTTCCAGGTGAGCCAAGTACGTATAAACGACTCGTTTGTTTAACTCATCTGCTTTATCGTCAAGAATAACAATTGTTTAACAACATTCAGAATGTATAATAACATTCGGATAAGCTCGTTAACAACAATATAACAAGACGAAACATAAGTGCATTCAAACAGTGAGACAGAAAATTCGTTGGTTTTATGTTTTATCGTATAGTCATATGATGTAACATACTGGGAAAACCCGGAACGCCTTATGTACTAGTTAAGGTACAGTTTCATTGGCAAGAACCAATTTTCAGGTACCTTTGAGCGTTTTTTCAAATTACATCTTTGCAACTGCATTACTCATTTGGTACTAAGCCGAGATTACAATTTATGCTTCTGTTTCATAGAGGAAAGTTGATGTACCACTAAGCTTAAGCTAACTTTAAATGGCGCTCCCATATTTTTTTGCTGGCCGCGTCAGTGCCTGAGCTAGTATTCGGTACGACGTAATCCAAACGTTGAGTGACGATTTGGATGGCGAAGGAGGAAGTCGAGGGCAAGCGGAACAGACGACTTAGCGCGAGAGTTTGCTTTCCTTTTTATCTAGCTCCGTCTGCTACAATTCCTTGAACAGTTAAGTCTATCAGAGCAGTCTTTTCTCTCTGACTGCATTTGTCAGATTCTGTTCCCGCTTCGCCCCAACTAATCTACTTTGGCCTTTCTGCTCTGACCGTGGACTAAACTGGCAGCAGACGCAACAGTGCCGACAACGCGTGTCGCAGCTGTCTACAACGTCGGAGCTCACAGAAGCTCGGTCCAGAAGTTGCCGTGTTTTACTCGTAATTTGCATTCTGCTCCAATGTAAACAGACTTTTAGCGACGGCACAATTGTCGGAGCCCTCACTTTGTCATTCTTTGTTTTTTGTCCGTTCTTCTCTCCGTTAGTTTTTTGTGCACTCTCACAGACCCTCAAACCTATTTCAGCTACTGGGTGTTACATTCGTTGAGTGCAATTTTCTGCGTGTATTGTGTCGTAGCAGCTGGGAATAGTATACGTAATAAGAAGAGCAATATCTTTACACGTTTACTGGAACTGAATCGTAAGGAAGATAAAGATAGAGAAGCAGAGTTTGCATTGCCCTTTATCTGTACAGTCTACTCCGTACAGGTATAATTCACTGTAATAAAGTCATGACAATTTCGCTTGGAATGGTAAAATACATAAGTGCCCTCGTCGAATTTGACCCTGTCTACGCTCAAAGTTTTACCTATTTTCAACGGAATACATATTTTGGAAAACAATAGCAATGTTCTGTTTTATTATCTGCCGTGCAATCATATATTACTACACTACAATTTAGTATATATCAATACTATTTGTGCGTAGTATTACGCGACGGTCTTTTCACGGATCGATACTATGTCGCTTCTTCTATCTGTATTACTGTGCAAGTACCAAGGGTAAAAGACGAAGGTGAAGTAGCATTTCTATGCTCTGGTCTTACTATGATGTCCTGGCGCAACTACTTTCACAGGGCCTTACACCCTGCTGAAACACTAAGCGTTCTCTCATACTCAATCCCCATCTTTCAGAACGCTCAAGTAGCAAGACAGAACAGGACAAAATAGGCGTCTCCGACACAACAATAGGAAAAGTAGCAGTTTGCTTCGTTGTCCGTCGTTCTTTTGTCTCGTACTATACTGTGTTCGCTTGGATCCTGATTATGTTTTCTTCCTACATTTTGCTTGTCTACTTCAGCTGTTAACTTAGCTACAGCTATAAGTATAGTAGTTTTCCTCTAGCATTGAGCAGTTTCTCTGACTTGCCGCCGCCGCCGCCGCCACCGTCACTTTCACCTGCCTTCGCAACTGTTTGCTGGAAAAAGAATTCGCTTTTAGTGGGCGTGTAATAGCACAAACTCAAATTGCGACGACACTTTCGACGATATCCTCGTCATTGATGTCACTGAATGCAAGTTGCCCCTCTAATCTTTTTTCGGAGGGTCGGTCGCTTCTCATTCGGTTTGCCCAGTTTTCGGTCCCCTTTCAGGACAGCTTGTCGCAACCGTGCGTACTTGTTTCTAATAAGAGTATAGCCAACTCCGGCCGTCCTCATTGTTCGGTTCCGCTTATTCTAGGTAGCAACCTTTGCAACGGACAAACAGAACGGGTTTTTCACCATTCTCGTCAGTCGACATGAACACCAAGTACACAACGACTATGGACGGGCAGCGTCGAGGGAAAAGTATAGAGACGAAGCATTACGACTGAAAGGGGGCCCTGCGTTCGTTGCTTCGTCACCGTCGTTGGGTGTAGTCAACAGAGATTGCGACATGATCGAAAAGTTACAAGGCGGCTGCCCTGAACCAGAAAGACGGCTGTAACCAAAAAAAAGTGCTGCAACAGCAGAAGAACTTGTTTTGCTGCTTATCAAAGATGGTGAGGGTAAACGATAGCCAAAAGTAGCAACTTTGCTACATTGCAAGGCTCGTCGTGGGAGCTAGGGAAAATTGACGAGGAAAAGCAGGCTATCGGGAGGCTATTCCAGGCTTTCATGTGGAACTTACTAAGCCAGGTTGCTGTAGTCATGTTGATTCATTGTCCAATGCTTGATTGTAAACAGCAATGATAGAAAATACAAAGGCTTAGCAAGACACAGTTGACCGTACTGACAACGATCTAACAAGTTCACAATTGGGCAAGGCACACAAATACGGATTCACATTAGGGACGTTCGCCTTACGCTGACTAGCTTATAATGTGACAAAGTGGCAAGAAGAGCGATTAGTGATAAACGTTACGATTCAGTAAGCGAAACTTCGAACAAAGCTATATTCAGCCGTGGCGTCAGCTCGCCATAAAACTAAACGAGAAACAAGTCTAACCACCAAGTGTATGCCCTTAAGCAGATTTCGCCTATCCGAGTTTTCGAAAATAGCTCTAAACGTCTACATGTCTATGGCGGTGCTGTTGACGCCTTTCTCGTAGAAAGACGAACAGATTTTAATTATCGGTCCCTATCGTATAGTCCCCGAACGCTTTTGGCATGTTTCGACACTTAAGTATTGTGCGGCACTGCGACAAATGCCACATGTTTAGCCGTCCGCGTTAACGTTTCGGTGTATATGTACCGGAAACGAAGATCACGATGCTCCCCTAAGTTCAAGTTAATTGCACTAGTGCGTATCACGCACATGGCGGCGAAGTTGCATTTCTTTTTTTTGGCAGAGTTGTACCCGAGGTAAGTGTATTCCGTAGAAAGCTAACGGTTAGTTCGTCCCGGAAACATTTAATGCTGTTTTTTTCGACTCATCATTTGGATTAGCGCTATCTTTGGCATCATCAAACCAAGTAAAATTTACATTTCACCGCCGTGCATGTTCTATCGCAAAAATATCTTCTACCGGTAAGATACTACCCGCAAAATAGTAAACTTAATAAATAGGAATCCGGTATCCATAGTTCTGAGCGATTCAAAGGCTTACTGATTTTTCCTATTAAAAAGGATAATGAAATCAGGCTCGTTTCAAATTCGTGAGCTGAGGTTAGATAAGTAACAAAAATAAATAAGTAAAAATGGAGTATGCACGAATGGCCAAGCTCTCAGTAATATTCTAACACAAAACCTTATCGCAACTGTTAACTTATGTCATCATTACCGACGGAACTTTACTCAAAATATGTGACCCTTCAAACCTCACTGTAGAGTGTTTTTTTTTTGGATCAAACAATTGAAAAATGGTAGCACGCTTATTAACTGCATGGAAGAATTGAAAAGAACTGCGTCTTGAAGTAGTCAATAAAGCGACGACTAGCTGTGGACTGCTTGTGAATCACTGAACTCCAATATATCACTATGCCATTGAAGGAGCTTTGTAGGATCATATATATATATATATATATATACTTTCCAGCAAATATGGGACACCATACATCCAAGTAGTGGTTAATTATCGATGCAAATTTGGTTGTGTCGCTCTTAAAATTGCGGAATTTCAGACTCAGAATCACTTTTGTAGCTTCGGAAGCATTTTCTTTGTTTTCCGAAAAGGGTGCGTGTGGCGACGAATTTCACATGTGACTTCACTGGTCCCTAGTTGAAAGATGTCGTGAATTCGCTTTCAAGAAGAAGCAAGAATTATCGTTAGAGAACAAATAAAAAATTGAATAAGATTGTTTTTTCGGGGAACCTTATGGAACACCTCCTTTCCTAAACATTTTATTTTTTCATTTGCAAATTCTTGCCAACTCAATGAAGACTCAGTAGCTCGCGATTACCTTCCTGACCGCCGAGAAAAGATGCGCGACAGGAAGGAACCACTTCCACTGCAGACAGGGTTACTGATGTTCGTGGCACTTCTGCTACCGCTGCTCCAGCCCAGAGATATCTCCGAAAAAAAAAGTACTCCGAAAAAAGCATCTCAATGACCGGTTCATTCATAATCATTGCCGTATTGTATCTGGACAACGAGGAACGGCACCGCTGTGCGGCAGGAGGGATATTTTAAAGCAACGCTAGTAAGCTGAACGCACCCCCGAAGACCGGGGAAGGAAAGAGCTTTAGCCAGTTAGCAAAGTTTGATCAAAGAGTGTGTTGAGCTCGATTCAATTATGCAGATGAAGCTTAGCAACTGGCGAAACTTCTAGCTGAGAAGCGACAAGCCCACTAAGCTGGCCGCGGTGGCCCAGCCAGCAGCATGCCAGTGACCCCACGAACAGTTCGAGGCCCATAGGCACCGCCGTTAGTAACTGTCGTTTGCAACTAGTTCCTTACAGCTTTGTGGTTAGTCCTGCTACCTTTTGCTACCTGCGCCTCGCATGTTTGTACTGGCCATAGTAGCGAGCACCGAGATAAACCAGTCGGACAGCCAGCGTCTGCAATTTGTCTTACTGCTTTTGCATCGTAGCCAATGTCATGGCAGAAGTAGAGCCCTACAGCTTTTACAGTCCCATTGGCGGTCGGTGGCTGTGGAGGTCTCTTCAGCTCCGGAAAACAGTGAGATTTAGGAAAAAGGGAAGCGACAACATCGAGCAGCGAATTCT